CTACTGCGAACTGGTGAATACCGTTTCACTCCCGCCGGCCTAAATTCGAGGTCCTCCGAGAAAATTTCAGTCCAAGGCAGGACCTTTACCTTTCCCATCTCTTTTGTAGGCCTTAACTATGTCCGGGGCTGTTTCTAGAAGTTCACTTTTGGTGAACCACCGGTCGTCTTCTGGCTCCTGATATGCAAATCTGACCTTATACTATTTCCGAGGACGACCTCGACCTCCTGTTCTAAACACATCTTCACCTACAATGCCGTCAATGTCATACCTCCCATCCATGTCTGGAGGGATCATGGAACGCCTAGATGGAAACTGATCGCTTGCTGTGCACGACAACAACTTTGACGCATGGAAAACCGGGTAGGTGTGGAGGTGTAGTGGAATCTCTACTGAATACGACAGACCATCCTCTCCGCCCTTGACTTCTAGAACTGGCCACGGTCCTCTATATGTGGGCAGTAACTTTTGTGAAATGTGCTCCTCAGGCAGACTAAATCGCCTACTTGGAACTGTGATGGGCGACGATGTTTGTTGGCTTGCTCTATCATATCCTATGCTGGGCCTTCCTGAGGTTCTCTACAACAGTAGTTAGTTCCTTCTCGTGCTGGATAGCGAACTTCCTAGTACCGGGCGGTAGCCTATGAATCTGATCCCGGTTAAGTCCTTCAAACGGTTTGCGCGACCTAAAGGACTTATGCAGCTCGTTGGGAGTGCGGCACGTAGACAGATGTACACTATTGTTGTAAGCACCGGCTACCTTGGGGAGCATCTCATCCCAGTCAACTTGATCAGGTCTAATGTACATTCTCAGAACTTGCTGCAGGATCTTATTCATCTGTTCAGTCTGACCGTTGGTCTCTGGATGACGGTCAGACGACATCAACAACTTAGAGCCATAGACTCTCATCAACTCCTGCCAGTTCTGACTTGTGAACCGGGTGTCTTTATCACTAACTATGGACAATGGGACCACGTGCTCACTGACCAAATGATAAAAAAACTTACGGATCACTAACTCCGTTCGTGCCTTTGAAGGCAAAGGTACAAAAACAGAGTACTTACTAAATCTATCGACAACCACCATAACTTGGCTCTTGCCATGCCTACTCTTGACTCCAGCGTCCATGAAATCGATGGACACTGAATCTCCGGGCTGATCAGGAATAGGCAGGGGTCTGAGAAGACCTAGCGGAGCACGCGTAGTAGTCTTATTTCGCTGGCAGACTTACAGTTGCGGGCATATTCTATGCAGTCATTCTTCATTCCTGGCCAGGTGTACTCGTGCATTAGATTGGCTAGAGTCTTTTGCCAACCAAAATGACCTTCTGTGTCGTGACATTCTCCTAAGATCAGACTACGGATCTCCTCATTATCGGGAATGCACAGACGGTCAACTATATTAGTCTTCTCGAATAACAGTCCATTAGTAGTGCGGTAATCTGGCTCGGTCTCTGGGGCCTCCTTTACTCGCTTGAGGAGGTCACTATAAATAGGGTCCTGCACATACGCTTCTTTAACCTTTTCCTGCAGGTCTCTCCCTATGTCCAGATAGTGAACTATTGCTCCAAAATAGTCAGCTCTCCTACTCAGAGCGTCCGCAACCACATTATATTTCCCCTTGACTGGCTTGAGCTCAAAATCATACTGGTCTATTTCTGCGGCCCACCTAGTAAGCTTAGGTGTCATCTTGGCCTGCGTCTTTAACCATCTTAACGTCTCACGGTCAGAATAGACTTTGAAGTGCCTCCCAAGCAAGTAGTGCTTCCAATGTTCTAGCGCTTGCCTGAGAGCGTAGAGTTCCCTCTCATAGGTCGATGTCGCAACCTTCTCTGAAGGCATCCTAGCAGACATGAACTCTACGGGCCTGTAACCATTGCCATCGTCTTGCTGCAGAACAACACCTATGTCGTACTGACTGGCGTCCGTAGTGACAACAAAGGGTAAGGACGGGTCGACCACCTTAAGGACTGGATACTCTATCAGTGCCTGCTTCAACTTCTTCATAGCAGACGTGCAGTCCTTGTCCCACTTCCAGATAGTCTCTTTCCTGAGTAGTCTGCGAAGGGGCGCAACGATAGTGGAGAAGTTCCTTACGAACTTCCTATAGTAGTTTGCTAGGCCTAAGAACGACTGCAATTCTGTCAACGTACGCGGTGTAGGCCAATCTCTGATCGATGCGATTTTACTATCCTCTGGCTTGATGCCGTCTCCGTCTAAGACGTGGCCTAAATACAACAATTGGGTCTTCGCCCATTCACACTTCTTCGCGTTGATCTTGAAGTTAGCTTCTCTCAGCTTTTCCAAGACCTGCCTGAGATGACCCTAATGCTCTTCGAGGGTCTTACTCAACACTAGGATATCATCCAAATACACTACAACAAACCTATCTAACCAAGGCCTAAACAGGTTATTCATGCATCGCTGAAAAGTCGTTGGCGCATTGGTTAGTCCAAAGGGCATCACGATGAACTCGTAGTGCCCGTATCTAGTCCGGAAGGCTGTCTTGTACTGATCATCAGGATGAACCTCTATCTGATGGTATTCGGACCTCAAGTTTATCTTCATAAAATATCTGCACCCCTGCACCCGATCCAAAAGATCGTTTATCCTGAGCAGTGGTTCAACATTCTTAACTGTGATAGCATTCAGACCCCTATAGTCTATACACATCCTAAGCTCTCCTTCTTTCTTGGGAACGAACAGAACAGGTGCTCCAAATGGAGACGAACTTGGCCTAATCCAACCCTTCTCGAGGAGCTCGTCTACTTGCTTGTGCAGCTCCTCTAGCTCCTGCGGGGACATCCTATACACGGCTCCCTTGGGCGTCCTACTGCTAGGCTCTATCTCGATTCGATGCTGGATGGGCCGCGGGACTACTCCTATCGGCGGCTCAGCTAGATCTTTAAACTCCTCCAGCAGCTTGGCAATAGCAGGGTCTATAGGCTTTTCTTCCTTAGGCTCAGTTACTGGCCTAACATAGGCTACAAAAACTTGTTCCTCTAGTTGTTCCTTCTTTACCAGTCGTGCAAACGCAGGAGCACTAAGGCAGCAATGTGCCAGGGAGTTGTCTACTCCTGACACATGGAACAGACGGGCAGTCTTAACGCCGCCTGACAGACTAGGGAGCCTACACTCATGCTCTCTCAAATGGAGTGTGGCCCCTGCTGCCTCTCCCCAGTCCATACCTAGGACTATGTCAAACGGGAGGCTATCCTCTACGAGGAGAGTCAGGGAATAGAGGACCTTCTCCACCTTCCCATCCTGTTCCAGGCGGAAATACGCCTGGACTCCCTCTACGTACTCCTCCACTCGCATGGTGCGATTGTCCGCGAGGATACTTACTATGGGGTCTGCTAGTCTTTGGACCTTTAACTGCAACTTCAGCTTCTGCAGCACCTTCCTACTAATATAACTACGAGTGGCTCCACTATCCACTAAGGCGCCTGCTCGTCCTCTAAAAATCTATGTCTCTACTAATATAAGTTGCACTTTATTCTCCTTTTTCATCTTGGCCCAGGCAGGCATCCTCTCCTTCAATTCTTCAGCCACGCCTGTGAAGGAGGTGTCTAGAGAGACTCTAACACAAGCAGTCTCTGGACAACTATCTAGACACCGGCCTGCAACCTCTGCCATAGGCACATGTGGTGTGGGAGTTTCCTGCCGGCTAGCGCTACTTTCCCCACATGGCCTTATGGTAGGAGCAGTTGCTACCGCTACTGGCGGCTGCCTTTTGGCCCTTGAGCAGCTGATCGGGTCTCCCTGTACTTTGGACAGTACTTAATGATGTGGCCAGGGTCACCGCAATAAATGCACTGTCCCCGGGTCACACGCTGTTGCCATATGCGCTGGTCCAAACCCAAATCTTCCCAAGGCCTGTCTTGAGGCGTCCCTGGGTGCCAACCACTTCTCCTGTAAGGGGACCTATTCCCAGACCGGTTTTGCGGGGGACCTTGACCCCTTCCTCCCGCTTGGCGGTTTCCTCCTCTGCCGCCAACCCCCTGATCACCCTGAAATCGGCCCCATGAGGCCCGGCCCCCTTGGCCCTGGCCTCGTCCTCCTCCTTGCGGCCTCCCTCCAGCCGCGACAGCGGCATAAGTTCTCCCTTGACTTACCCCACTGTCCTCATCCTCTAATCCTCATTCGATCTGTTCGTAGGGGATCTCATCCACACTACCCTCATCCAAGGTAAGGATGAGGCTATCCTTGGTCTTTACTTGCCCTGAGATAGTGTGGCCCTTCCACTTTTTACCTTTGTCCAGGTCCTTTTGCCAGAAAGTGGATACTGACGCGGACTCTGCTTCAAAGGCTACCACTTCCCTGTTGAGTGGGTCAGACGTCATAGCAGGATCTTGACTCTTCGCAAAGAAGTGCCCCCTCGGAGATTCCCACATAGCCCTGTAGAAGAGGTTGACCAACTGGGTCTCTGTGACCCCATGGTCAGGGACAGCCACCCACTCGTCCATAACACCCTTGAGTGCCCTGGCACTCTTCCATTGGCGAGAATGGATGGTCTGGAGCCTATCAGAGGCTTTGGCTCTGCGGGCGACATCAGCAAATCGCTCGCGCAACAACTTCACGAAATCTCTGAGGGGGGTGAACGAAGAGTAGGCAACTGCATCATCGTTGCAGTTGGCAGAGCGGACTAGAGACCTCGCGAAACTGGCAGCCTCATCTCTAAGCGCATGAATGGCTATCAACACGTGCTGATCTGGGGAGACTTGCTGCAAGTGCACATAGGTCTTCACATTGGCCTCCCAATTGTCAAAGTTCTCTTCCCTCTTTCCACTGTAGGAATTGGGGAACTTGACTTTGACTGGCTCCCTGCGAGGACTGCCTCTTCCTCTTTGGGGGCTGTCAGCTTGACGCCTTCAATGGCGCCCACGCAAAATCGTTCGGTCTTCTCGAGGCGATGGTTCACCTTGGCCCCTACTACGCCTACCACTTCGCGGGCAAAATCCCAAAATCCCATCCGCATCGAGCGAACGGCCATATCCTGACTTCTACTAAACTCATATTGTTCTCCCTGTACCTGGGCTAAGCGCTCAACACTCTGGGCAATGATCTCCACCTTTCGTTGGAGATCCACCTGGGCAGCCATCTGCTCTCTCAGGTTCTTGACTTGCTCTAACTCTTTGGCCGCCTCCCTTGCCGCCTCTACTCTTCTTTTCTTTTCCCTCATCATCCTGAGCCTCCACTCCATCTTTTTCTCATCCGCCATCGCTCGCCGCTTCAGGGGATCTTCCTCTGCATCCCATTCTTTCATGGTGGCCTCCTGCTCATCCTTGGGAATATACATGGCGACCTCTTCTTCTTCGCCCAAGGACAAGTTGGCAACCCATTCTGAAATCCTCTTCTCCATCTCATCATTTTTACTCCCACTGTACTGCCCTTGTTGCTCTCTCCTCCTCTCCAGTGGCTGCTCATCTTCCTCCTCCTCTTCTACTTCCTTTAGTTTCGCCTCCTCCTCTTTCTTCAATCTCTCTTTTTCTCTGGCCATCTCCTCCTCCATCTTCTTCAGCTTCGCCGCCTGTTCCTCCATCAAGGCCTTCTTCTTGGCCTCTTTCTTTTCTTTCCTTTCCTTCAGGATGGCGGCCATATTCTCCTCCTCTTCCTTCGTATAGGGCTTGGTGGAGGCACCACCCCTGGTATCCACTCTACACATGAACGTGTGCCAAAACCCCAGGGGAAAGAGGAGACGCCAGAGGGTCCCCCAGAGGGAGAACCCAATGAGTAAACCATACATCGGGTAATCATCCATGGTGATAGGTGCACGACAATGTCCCACTCCCCACCACTTAGACCAACCCGCAGACGCACTGACAGACTCTCTAAGGACCACAGGGTAGAACCCTGTCAGCTATGGTCACTAGCCTAGACCTACTCTAAGGCTGTCACTACTGAACCAATGGTTGATCTGGAGGCATTTAAGGATCCCCCTAACTCCGCAAGAATTCTTTAATGTCGCAGACAGGACGACGTGATCAGCTTGGTTCTGCCTGTGCTTTCAGCCCACAACTCAGCCTTTCCGGCCTACTGTGCCACACCGAGCAGCCCGCCAGTCTGTACCGGTCCTTGGGAGGGTTCGTATCCCTCGGGATAGTCGAGTCGTCAGACACAGATCCTCAGCCTTACTTGGTCTGGTAGGGGAGTGGTTCAAACAGGCCCTCAACACTTAAAGACTGTCTGGTGTGTCAGCCCCAACCCAGTCCTTCAGGCCCACTGTTCCATACCAACCGTGTCCAGCCGGTCAGCACCGGTCCTTGGGAGGGTTATGCCCCCCTGGACAGTTGGATCTTTCACAGCCTCAGCCCTACTAGATCCGATAGGGGTTTCGTCATCCAGGCCTATCCTTCATGCACAGAGTACTATCACTTAGGACAAAAGAGACTTGATGCAGAAAGAAGAGACAGACAGACTCAGACTCAGCAAGTACCGCCGGGTGAGTGCACATCCACAAGGTGAGGGGGTAGGCTAGGGACTTGGTGAGATACTACCAACTCCAGCTTGGTCAAAGTCTTGGTCAACGGCGCCGGTCAACTCCTCGGTCAACGCTTGGTCAACGCTGCAAGACCCTGGTCAACACCCCGGTCAACCTCCCGGTCAACCCTCCGGTCAACTTTCCACCTCGGCTATGGCTGCCGGCACCTTCTCCTTCGCCACCCCTGTCTTCTCCTTCCTCCTCCTTCACTTTCTTCTTCCTTTCTTTCTCTCTT